TTCCATGCTCCCTGCTGGGAGCCCATGGATTTGCCTTAAAATGATGATGTCCCTACACATAAAAATGACACTAAATAGTTACAAAAGAAAGAGCAATAAAATATATAAATCTAATCTATATAAATAAAAATGTAATGCTAGTTTGTGGGATTAATATAACTCAAAACCCACTGGATGAATTGACACCAAATTTGAACACAATACACCTATCAAGGCAATGAGTGACAATCACATAAAAACACTGAAAAACATAGCAGAAGGGACTTAAAAAGCCAAAAAAGCAAAAAGACACTACAGCGCATGTGCAAAAATGACTCCCCTGGAAAACAAAACACTCAATAGCATATCTACACTCTCTTCTGGACTACAGCTCCCAGCATCCCCTAGACCAGGCCCTTTAGGAGAGGAGGATGATCCAAATGCTCTGCTTCCAAGCTGCAGGCTTGCTTCTCCTTGGATTTCTTTGAGAACACCCCAATCCATGCATATTTTCTATTCCTGGACTGCAACTCCCAGCAATCATCCAGATACATAGATTAGATAGAGATGGATAGGCAGGGAGATAGATAGATTGATCAGGAGGACTGCTGGGAGTTGCAGTCCAAGAATAGGTAGAGAAGGGAAAAGGTAGAAAAAGGGGAAGGGAAAGAAAAGGGGAGGGAGGAAGGGAAGAGGAAGAGAAGGAAGGAAGGAGAGAAAGAAAGAAAAAAAGGGAAGGAGAGAAAGAAAGAAGGAGAGAAAGAGGGAGGGAAGGTTGGCCACAGGAACACGTGGCAGCTACAGCCAGTTGACTTATAAAAGAGAATAAAAGTAATTATTGAATTAGAAATCATAGTTTTTCCATCCATACTTAGGAAACATGATATTCCACTTGTGGGTGGACAACTATACATTTAACACGAGGCTACTAGATTAAGCAATATATGAAGTCCAACTGCATCGTGAGTAGTGAGCAATACATGGACGCAAATTATTGCATATAACCCAGTTCATGAATTAAATTTCCTCAGTTAAGCCACTCTCTAATGCAGCAGTGTTTGGAAAGACCTTGTAAGAATCAGGTACTCTTCTTATTCCAAGAGCTGTACAAGCCTCAGCTGTGGAATTTCTAATAAAGACAAACTTAAGAAGTAATGATAATCAAAAGTTCTTTTAAAACTTTATCCTGTTGGTGCTTTCAATCCATCTATCAATCAACTGGAGATAGCACAAGGATCCAAGGCACTGAAGGAAGTAAGTACATTTAAACTTTTATCTATTTATTTACGACATTTATATGCCACCCTTCTCACCCCGAAGGGGACTCAGAGCGGCTTACAAGTAAAATGTAAATACAATATATTATACTTTTACATAGCACAATATCAATATTACATATCACTATATTGTACCATAACACCATACTGTAATATTATTAGTAATATTACATTTAATATAAACATATATACTTATAATATATTATTATTATTAGTATATTGTATTACATTATAACTATCAATATTATATGTATATACAATATATTATATATATTATATTATAAGCACAGTGCAGGAGGCAAGATGGAACTGCTTTCATGGCCCCTCTCTTCACTCTGATCTCAGAGTAGCAGTTGGTGCTG